AGCCTATCTGACAGGCCACAGCAACAGCATCAGCTGCTGAAGAGGGCCATGTGGGGGTAATCGTACCCACCAGGTCTTCTACTCAATAAAGCACCTAAGGATCCATGCAAACAGGGACCACGCTGTAATATGCATGCGCATATAGCATGCGTATAGCGCTATATGCATGCGCATGTAGCATGCACTACACCTCAAGGCTTCCTGAGCTGGACAGACCTCCCCCACCTGGTACCTCGGGGATCCTTCCCCGGACAGGGTACATGGTCCTGGCCTCCATGCAGGTGGAGCCCTTGACTCTAGGCTGTGGAGGCTACCTGGTACGTCTGCTGGGGGCTGGGATCTGGGCTCCAGGCACTCCTACTTGTGGGATGTGTTCACTGGTGGAGACTCTGGCAGACCAGATGAGGGAACTCCATCAGGGATCATGAGAAGGACATCGATGCCTACTGACAGACTCTGTACCTGGAGAAGAATGCCACAGAGATCAGGCAGAAGAGTGAGCTTCAGCACGATGCCCCCAGTGATGGAGAGTGAAAATTGGCCCAAAGCCATGACGTGCACCAGCTGCTCCACTGACAGCCTTACACAACAACTACACAGCCCTGATACCATCATCGGATGAGGCATCTGCATCCTCCGCATCGAGATCGAGGGGAACAGCCACCCCCACCGAAGAAGTAACAAAGGGTGATTGTTGTGGGAGACTCCCTGCTGCAAGGAACAGAAGAAGCCATCTGTCACCCAGACCCCCTTGCTCGAGAGGTGTGCTGCCTTCCAGATGCCAGGATCCAAGTTATAATGGACAGGATCCCAAAGCTGGTCCGTCCTAAGGACTACTATCCCATGCTCTATGTCCCCCAGGAGAATAACGAGCAACTACAAGACTATGGGGGTGAAGCTCAAGGAACTAGGAGCACAAGCGGTCTTCTCCTCAATCCTCCCAGTTAGAGGCTGTGGCCGTCAGAGGGAGGAATGCATTGAGGAAGTCAACCAAAAGCTTCAGAGATGGTGTCACTGAGTTGGTTTTGGATTCTTCAACCTTGGTATGCAGTTCATCAGCACTGGTCTGCATGCAAGAGATGGTATCCACCTCACAGGCAGAGGGAAGAAGCTCTTTTCCACAAGAGTCACAGACTTGTGGAGAAGGGCTTTAAACTAGACAAGCCCAGGGTAGTGGGGGTAGATTCCACTACTGGGCATAAATCCTCTGGCCAAGATGGCCCAGAGGAGGGTATTCACGTAGGGGACATCCAAATGATTATCAATGCCCCAAGACACTTGCAGACGGACAGAAAACCTGGGATGACTAGGGGTGAACTCAGCTGTCTTTATGGGAACACCAGAAGCATGGGCAATGAACAGGACAAACTGGTACTCGTTCTGGCAGACAAGGATTTTGACATCATTGGGTTGATGGAGACTTGATGGGATGATACATATGATTGGGCAGTGGATACTGAGGGCTACAGGATCTACGGGAAGGACCGTGTTAGGAAGAAGGATGGAGAGGGGTAGCCTTCTATGTGAAAGAGCAGTACCCCTCCCCTCAGGTCACATTTGATTGCATGAGGAAGTCTCTTGTGACCCTCTGAGTCAAAATGCAAGGGGGCTCAGGAGAAGGGGACCTAATAGTGGGAGTCTACTATAGGCCTCCCTACCAAGAAGAGGAGCGCGATAAGACATTCTACAGAGAACTGACCAAAGCAGCCAGCACTAAAGACTTGATTGTCATGGGTGACTTCAACTACCTTGACATCTCTTGGGGAGACCATTCAGCCAGCTCCAGCAGGTCAACAAACTTCTTGGCAATTTTAGACCATCTGTCACAGGCTGTGGAGGAGCTGACTAGGGGGAAAGCCCCTCTGGACTTGGTGCTGACCAAAAGAGAAGACATGGTAGGCAACCTGAAGATTGGAGGTACTCTGGGTGACAATGACCATGATTTGATTAGATTCACCATCCACCAAAAGGCTGGGAATTCTACCAGCAGAACAGAAGTCCTTGACTTCAGAAGGGCAAACTCTGGTAAACTCAGGAGTCTAGTTGGAAAGGCCCTTTGCAACCAGCGACTGGGCAACTTGGGAGTTCAGGAATGGTGCCACTTCCTTAAGGAGGCAATTCTCATTGCTCAAAAAGAGGCCATCCCCATGCAGTCAAAAGGAGGGAAAGGGGCCAAGAGACCCGCCTGGCTCAACAGGAACACGAGGGAACTTCTCAAAAAGAAAAAAGAAGTGTATATGCAATGGAAAAATGGTTCAGCATCAAGAGAAGAGTACATTCAGATAGCCAGGGCCTGCAGGTATGAGACAAGGCAAGCCAAGGCATGCATCAAGATCAAGCTGGAAACTGAAATAAAAGACAACAAAAAGTCCTTCTATAGGTACATAGGGAGCAAGAAAAAGAATCAAGCTCCACTGTGGGTCCCCTACTGAATACGGAAGGGAAGCCCACAGCTGATCCCTGCGAAAAGGCAGAGCTCCTTAATTCTTACTTCGCATCAGTATTTTTTAAATCAGTCGTGAACTCATCACCTGTCCAGAGACCCAGAGAATATGGCGATGACAGTAGTCCACATAAAATCAGCCCTGAACAGGTGAAGGTACTCTTAGAACATTTGGATGTTTTCAAGTCGGCTGGGCCAGATGACCTGCACCCGAGAGTCCTGAAAGAACTGGCCGAAGTCAGAGCGGTGCCTCTGGCAAGACTGTTTGAAAAGTCATGGAACTCAGGAGTGGTCCTGAATGAATGGAATAAGGCTAATGTGGTGCCCATCCTTAAGAAAGGGAAAAGGGACAACCCTGCTAACTATAGACTGGTCAGTCTGACTTCAATCCTGGGAAAAATCTTTGAAAAAATCATCAAGGAGGCCATCAACCACAAGCTCGTAACTGATGGGGTGCTGAGAATGAACCAGCATGGCTTTGTTGGGGGGAGGTCTTGCCTAACAAATCTGGTGTCCTTTTATGACCAGGTAACTAACCAGCTGGACATGGGACATGAAGTACACATCACCTACCTAGACTTCAGCAAGGCCTTTGATACTGTTTCCCATGAGATTCTCTCAATTAAATTTGGGTGTACTGGCCTAGACCTGGCTACGGTGAGGTGGGTTGCAACTGGCTCAGCAGCTGATCCCAGTAAGTGTTAATTGATGGGGTGGCCTCATCCTGAAGGGCCGTCTCCAGTGATCGTCCCAGGGATCAGTGCTTGGGCCCATGCTCTTTAACATCTTTATCAATGACCTGGATGAGGGAGTGGAAAGCACAATGATTACATTTGCAGATGACATCAAGTGGTGGGGAAATGTGGGCACATCTGAGGACGGGGCAAATATCCAGGATGATCTTGACAGGCTCGTCCTATGGGATGAATGCAATCAGATGAATCAGATCAATAGGGATAAGTGCTGGGTCCCTCATCTGGGTAGGAAGAACCTTCACAACTATACAATGGGTGGTGGTCCACTGGCTGGCACTGCATCTGAAAGGGACCTGGGGGTGACAATCGACCAAAGGATGAATACGAGTCATCAGTGTGATGAAGTCGCCAACAGGATAAATAGAACTCTAGTGTGCATCAGCCAAAGTGTAGCCAGTAGATCCAGGAAGCTGCTCCTCCCCCTCTATTCAGCATGGAAGAGGCCACAGCTGGAGTACTATATCTAGTTCTGGGCACCGCACTTCATGAAGGATGTGGATAAGCTTGAAAGAGTACAGAGAAGGGCCACCCACATGATCAGGGGCCCAGGAGATCGGCCCTATAAAGAGAGACTCTGGCAACTGTGTCTGTTCACTCTGTGTAAGAGAAGACTGAGAGGTAACTTGATAGCCACCTACAAGTATGTCAGGGGCAAACACCAAGATCTAGGGGAACAATTCTTCAGAAAGGCACCCCTTGGGAGGACAAGGTCCAAAGGGCACAGGCTAGTTGAGGAAAAATTTAGGATAGACATAAGGAAAAAATTCTTGTCCAAAGGGTAACTAAAATCTGGAACACACTCCCAGCAGAGGTGATGCAGTCACCATCCCTGGAGGTTTTCAAGAGGAGGCTGGACAAGCACCTCATAGAACTTGTTTGAGCCCAATTACCTCCTGCCCATGGCAGGGGACTGGACGCAATGATCTTACAGGTCCCTTCCAGTCCTTCTATTCTATGCTTCTATGATTCTAAGAATAGAAAGGCCTTTATTCCTGCTCTGTGTGGCTTCAGATACTAGCTTGAAATAGTGTCTTGTGTTCTTAGTTCCAACAACAGCAAGTTAGCTGTAGCTCAGCTTGTGTGTGACAGTTGTGAATATCACAGATAATCTACGTACAACATCCTTCCTTCCCCCACCCTCCTTAATCATCCCATCTAATTTACTATGTGTTCATTGTGTTTAAATGTGTTTTCACCATTATGCATTACATTGAGTTTCAAAGTTACAGATAAAGTTCAATTAAGCTTAGAATCCAAGGGTATCTATACACGTGCTCTGGGGTTGGGGTGAGGGGGCAGCATTTTAATTAGAGTGGCTCCTGGACAGGTGTTCTAATTAAAACGCCATAGTGTCATGTATATTCTGTGTCCCACATTTCAAAATGGCAGCAAGGGGTACTTTAACTAATGCTCACTCAACGAGTTTTAGTTAAAGTGCCCCTGCTGGCATTATGAAACGTGGGACACTGAATACATATAACACTGCAGCACACTGGAGCATTCTAATCAGAATGCTCCAGCTCCGACACATTCTATATAAAATGTGTCAGAGCACATGTATAGGCACCACAAGTGTGTCAAGTGTCCCATTTACTACTTACTTTGCTGAACACAGTATATATTATGCCAAACACATAGAGAGACTTCTTACACCTTTAAGTACACAGAAATAAAAACACTTCACAAATAAGACTGGATTCTCAATTATTCAGTCTTGTTGAATCTATTAACATTCACATTCAATAACTTTCCCTGGAGCAGTGAACTAGAATATAATTAATGAGACGACCTCACTAGCTTACCACATGTTCATTGACATTACTGTAGTTGCATGTAATCTGTTGATTTTGATAGTATTCTAATTGTCTTTCTGCCAGATCAACACGCTGCAAGAGATTCTCAATGAAGTGCTGGAGTCTGGCTTTTCCACGGAACTCTTTCTCAGCTGCTTCTTCTAGGAAGTGGTTAAAGGTAACAACTTCTCTGTTAAGACAAAAATATTGAAAGTACCATTTTTGTACTGGAATGCAGCTCAGGATGGTACTGGTAAGAAAAAGAATAGGAATATAGCACTTGAAATTCCCTTCCATGTCATTGTCCCAAAATATAACAATCATACCATATAAACCCTTTAATCAATGTATCAAGTTCCATCTTAAAAATAAGTTAGTCTTCTACACCCACTCTTCCTAATGGACAACTGTTCCAGAATCCCAGTTCCTGGTGGTTAGATTGCCACCTGAATCCCAGTCCCTGGTTCTAATTGCCACTCTTTTTGTGCCTACATTGTCCTTTTGCTTATCTTTTCTCTCCCAAGTGTATTTATCCCTTGGTGTATTTATAAGCAGCAGTCATATCACCTCCCAGCCTTTGTTTTGCTTGGCTAAACAAATTAAGCCTTTATTAGCGTTCTTCTGTAAAATAGGTGCTTAATTCCTCTGATCATCCTAGGGCCTCTTTCTGCACCTGTTTCAGTTAACAAAAACCTACACAATTGCAGATAATATATAGTGTACATTATTCTCACCAAAGCCTTGTATAATGAAATTAATAGCTTCTCCTTTCTACTGCCAATTCCTTTCCAGATATATCCTAGGAATGCACCTGCCTTTTATATGACTATCCTCTAATTGACTAATACACTCAGGTTTTCTAGTCTGCCACTGTCTACAAATGACGAACACCTAGCTTATAATAGAAACTCTTGTTACTATTCCCTCAGTGCCTGACCTTGCCCTTAGAGCTATTGAATTTCATTTCATTTTTAGTTTTCTAGTTCTCGAGGTCGACCAATCTTTCCTCCTTGATATTTGGATTCATCTCTGTATTGCTGATGACTGCCAACTTTGTGCCATCAACAAATTTCATGAGGACAACAATGCAAAGGAGGGATGGTGATTTGCTCTTCCTCTTTGCTGTCATGTTTCTAGGGTTTTTTTTCTGTAAATCATTGGAAAGAAAGAAAACTAAAAACTTGAAAAAAAATCTATGGGATTACAAGAGGCTCTTTAAGAAATTCCTTTTGTTCAACTGTTAGCCAGGTTGGAGATTAAACCACCCACAAGGGACAAAAAAGATGCCCTGTTATGCCACATACTTCAGTACTAGAACATTCTTTGAGGGATGGCTCAGCCACCGTGCTTTTCAGGAGATTACTACAGCACAGACCTCTCCTTTCTCCATGTTCATTCATGTCTTTAGGGCAGAGTGCTCCCAAAGAATGTCCCCTCCTTTGGCTGCACTTTACAATTACAATGTGTAAATGATAAAGAGATTTAGGAAAATGTTGCCACTTAGGTGGCTTCTTCTCCTAAAAGGACATTTACCACACCAGCTCCTGGCCATCAGCACTGAAAATGTTTATTGCATCAAAGGAAGATATCTGTATGCAGTATAAGTAACGTTAAATAAATAAAAGAATGCCAAATAAAAGACCAGAATCTTTCATATAATTTAAGAAATAACCATAATTTCCATCTGAGATAGCTGGAGAAATTTTGCAAAAGCAACTTTTAGTACATTCCAAAATATCTGTTTCCTTAATGTTTTTCAGGTGAAAAAGTGGTGCCTCTTTCCATATTTAAATATACACCAGTTTGACACTCAAACTGGGGGTGTGAGCAGAAATAGAAAAAAAATTTAAAATTTGTCCTTGAATCCTGCCAGTGTAATTTGATGGATTTGGTTTAAATTAACTAAATTATATGTTCCCAAATAGTTTTATTTTATCCTGATTCTCTATACAGGCAATCATCAATCCTCTGGATCATGGTGTATGCATAAGTCATGTGCCTGATGAATCCACTTGTGGCTGACAAATTCAAGCTGAGAGTGATACAGCTTGTTACAAGTTTCATAGATCCATGTGTTGTCTGAGAAGGAGTCCAGTTTACAGAATGCTGCCTTCTTTTTTCTCGCTTTGCTTCTATCCTCTGGATCAAAGCCACTTCATGTTTAGCTGCATCCAATGCCAGTTGTTCCCTCCAGATCAGATGGGATTCTGCATACTCTTCCCAGCTTTCTACATTTATGCTGAATGACTTCATATCATTTTTGCATATGTCATGATACCACCATAGAGGGCAACCCTGCTTTCTGGAGCCATCTCAAAACTCTCTGTACAAAATATTCTTGGGGATATTGTTTTCCTCCCATGCTCCTAACATAGCCAAGCCATTGCAACCTCCTCTTCTTAATAGTGATTTCTAAGTGTGTCAGTCCTGTGTGCTCCAGCTGCTACCTCTCAGCTCCGTGTTTTTGTGGAACTCTGGCACAGGACGCAGCCTGTCTGACTCAAAGAGTTTCCTTCCCCCCTGCCCTCCTCTCCCTGATCAAGAACTGATTACGAAAGACAAGATGCAGTGGGAGACACACCTAAAGCCCTCCAGATAAGGGAGCAACTCCCTAGGTCTCATTTGCATCCGAGATGGAACCAGATGACAATTCATTTACATGGGAGATGGAGAACAGAAAGCCCCAAGCAAAGACTGCAGTGAATTCTGGGATCAGAGAAGCAGGGGAGCACTGCATGATGGGGAATCTGTGCTCCAAATGATAATCAATGCATGTTTACACACACCCAGCTCAGCATTTATCAGACCAATTCTAATCTGGATTTACAAAGAACTTGTTGTTTCCCCCACCTACACACACACCCCTCATCTAACCAGAACTAAGCAGAAATAAAGTTTAATAGGCATCTTGGGCCGTACATTCCCTGGTCCCACTATGGGAGGCGTATTTAAACTTGATTGACTAAAACTTGGTTGCCAGGTTAGGGAATGCTGAAGCAAGAGACCAAGTCAGAGGGGGTATGGGCAACATTTGAACAATGGT